GATTGAGAAGATGTTTTTCAATAAAGATTTTAAATAAAGCAACTTTAAAATCCACCAACAGGGTTTTTTTTTTTTCTTCTTTTTTTGCCATAGTGTGTATGTGTATAAGAAAGACAGAGACAGAGAGGGAAAGTAAGAACTCTCCCCATGGGGGGATGGACACGCCACTGTCCCTTCTTTTCCATTCTCTTCTCAGGATTTCGGGCATGCACACACATGCACCTGCTGAGAGTTTTCAAGCCACTGGGTCCAGGCCTGAACCATGATTGGCCATGTGGGATCCAGCATCTTAATCTCCTCGTCACCTGTTGGTCTCTGAGGGGTTTTATTTTTTTATTTTTTATTTTTTTAGATTGAGAGCAATGTATGCTTAAATTACTAGCGTAGAAAGCTAGTGATTGAGGTTTTCAGTAAATTTGAATTTATTCACCAACTGAATACATTAACCTCTTATTCGTAGATAAATGTACTCATATAAACTGTTTAAAAGCAAAGCCTGGAATTTGGGAAGAGCAGATAGCATAATGGTTACGTCACTGCACTCCCAAGTAGTTGACTGCAGTTTGAATCCTGGACCCAGCGGTGGCTTAAAACTCACGCTGGGTGTGTGTGTGCATGCCCAAGATCCTGAGAGGAGAATAGAGAAGGGACCGTGGTGTGGCCATTTACCCTACTAGGTGATTTCTTGCTGTCTGTCTCTCTGGTGAGCACATGCGATCTATAGCAAAAAAATCCCTCAAAAGAAAAAAAAAGGCAGCACAGCCTGGACCTTAATAAACACCTGAATGTTAAATACTAGGTGTTATCATTACTACATTTATTTCATGTTGGACAATTCTGACTTTTGAATACAACATCCTTGCTGCATCTGAATGGCGAAAAGTCTTACTTGTAGGTAAAGCTTACAGTGACTTTGGGAACCAGCAGTTAGCGTAATGGCTATGTTGCTGGACTCCCACGTAGTCGACTGTGGTTCGTGTCCCGGACCCAGTGGCTTAAAACTCACACCGGGCGCGTGTGCGTGCGTGCCCAAGATCCCGAGAGGAGAATGGAGGAGAAGGGATTGCGGCGTGGCCATCCCCCTGGGGGGTGATTTCTTGCTTTCTGTCTCTATGTCTCTCTGGCGAGCGCAACCGCCCTATAGCGGGAAAAACAAAACAAAACAAAACAAAACAAAACAAAAAAAGCCTCTCCAAAGCTTACAGTGACTTTGTGTTCACAGGTTCAGACGTGTCCTAAGGGCCAGGGGGGTCAGGAGCAAACCACTCAATGTAGAGTGGGAGATTTTAATTCCAATTCCTGCTCTGTCTCTCTCTCCTCTCTTTTCCCTTTTTGAAAATGCCAGAGAGGACACACATTGACTAGAGAGAGCGAGAGAAAGCATCCCCCAAGGGGGCATGTTCACGCTGTGCTCCGTTTCCCTCCTCTTCTTCCCATCAGGATTGTGGGGCATGCATGCACACATACCCAGCATGTTTCTCAAGCTGCAGGGCGAGGATCTGAATCCCGGTCAGTCATGCAGGACCCAACTCCCGAAGCACAGAAGCTGACTGTGTGTGGGTCCGGCCCCCTGCTCTGTCTCTTAAAAAGTCTTGAGAACACAGGCCAGTCTAAATCCCTGTGATCTTCATTTTCCACCCTGTTTGTAACAAGGGGGATAATACTGTAGTCCCCTAATTTACATAGCTCTTTGAGGATTATGTTTTTCAAAAGATGTATTAATTTTTAAAAAGCACAGCACATTCCCCATTATCAATGTGGATCCCCAAATGAAAAGCTGGTTCAGTATAGATCAACCACTCTATTCCAGTTAAAGAGAAAGAGAATAAAAATGAAGGACAAAGAAAGATGAATCGAAAGTTAGCATTACTTTTTTTTTTTTTTTAAAGAAAATCTTTCTCCTTAATTTTATGTAAAAGTAAATCCTTTTCAGCCTGTGATATTCTTTGAAATTCTGAGTAAGTTCATTTTCACTTCCTTTCATTCACAGATTTTCATTAGGGGTCATAGTCCAGTGACCTTCAGGGTCACAGCCTGGCCAGGGCACGCCCTCCCCAAATGCAACACCTTATCTCTGTAAGCAGAGAAGCAGGAAACGGAGCCCAGCTTTCCTGTAGCTGCTCATTTTCATTCTGAAGCCTGTCTTGGCCCTTCCAGGGTGTAGCCACTAGCCCTCTGCTCAGCTCTTCTGAGGCTGCTTGTGGAGCCTGAGCTGGACAGCTTTTCGATCTGTCCTACACAGGAGAGACAGAGTCTGTGATGTGTGGCCCATTACGCCCTTCCCAGGCATGAAAACGGTGACATTCAACTAAGGATTCCCTGAGTGAACACTCAGAAACTGTATGTTATAGGACTGGCCAGTAATGCAGTGAAGGTGGCTGGATCCCACGTGGCTGACTGCATGATTCAAGTCCTGGACCCAGCAGTTTGAAAAACACACCAAGCTTGTGTGTGTGCATGCCCACCCAAAATCCTGGGAGAAGAAGGGACTGCAGCATATGGCCATCCCCACTAGGGGGATGCTTTCTTCTCTCCTACACTCTCTCTGTCTCGCTTCAGTGAGTGCACAGGCCCTGTAGCAAATTAAAATCAATCAATCTATCAATCAAACTAGGGGCTGGCAGGTGGTGTGGTGGTTAAGGTACTGAACTCCCACATGGCCGACCATGGTTTGAGTCCTGTACTCTGCAACTTGAAACTCGTGCCAGTCACATGTGCATATCTGCACAAAATCCTGAGATGGGGAGGGGGTGATCTCTCACTCTCACTCTCTCTGTGTCTCCAGCAAGCACACATGAGCTATAGCAAAAAATATCTCTTCCAAAAAAAGAAAAAAAACTGGGACAAGTAGATGCATAATTGTTACGTCACTGGACTCCTACATAGGTGACCGCGGTTTGAGTCCCAGACCTGGAGGCTTCAAATGCCAGCATGTGTGCTTGCGTGCCCAAAATCCTGAGAGGAGAATGAAGGAGAAGGGATTGCAGTGTGGCCATCTCCCCTGGGGGGGGCGCATTTCTTGCTTTCTGTCTCTGTTTCTGTGGCGAGTGCATGCACCCTATTGCAAAAATATCTCTACAAAAGAAAAACAAAACTATATTTTTCATTACAGACTGAACAATATCTAAGGAAAATTAGGTAAGTAATTTACCTTAAAATTCACAAAAAGAATAAATAACTAGTTCACATTATGTTTACTTAAGTATCATTTACAGCAACCTAAGAGAACTCTGAATATAAAGGAAAAGTCTGATACTAAAGATGACAGAGTGAGTGGTTAGCTCACAAACTGTAACTACTGTCTAGAAAAGTTAAGATTAGTTGAGTTCCGTTTGAAGTGGTTTGCCTTAAATGGCTTAGTTTACAGAACTGATTGTTTTAATTATTCCATAGGAATTACATTTTTTGCACCAATGGTACAACTTGTTGAGAAAATCTTCTGCTATAAGGGACCAGCAGATAGCATAATGGTTACATCGCTGGACTCCCACGTAGTCGATGGCAGTTCGAGTCCCAGACCCAGTGGCCTAAACATCACACCAGGCAAGTGTGCCCAAAATCCTGAGAGGAGAAATGGAGAAGGGACTGTGGCATGGCCACCCCCCTGGGGGAAGGTGGTTCTCACGTTCTGTCTCGCTGGTGAGTGCATGCACCCTGCAGCAAAAATGTCTCTTAAAGGAAAAAAAAAGAAGAAGAAAATCTTCTTCTATAATACGGAGGATCACATCATGTTTGTTATCTTTTTGTTTTTTTTTAAGAGAGATTTTTACTATGGGGCATTTTTCTCTCTCACTGGAAAACAAAAACAGAGAGACAGAAAGAAAGCAAGAAATCACCCCCCAAGGGGATATCCATGCCACAATCCCTTCTCCACCATTTTCCTCTCAGGATTTCGCGCACACACACACACACACACACACACACACACACACACGGCATGAGTTTCAAGCCACCGGGTCCAGGACTTGAACCATGGTGGACTATGTGGGCGTCCAACAACATAACTACTATGCCATCTGCTGGTACACGTTTGTTATCTTTTAACAACTTAAAATTCCTTAAGTATGTATTTGTCCCTGATATGGATTTATGACTCCCATTATGAATTTGTCAAAGCTTCTGGAAGTCTCCAAGAAATGTATATAAACTATCTTAAAACTTAGGACCAGCAGATGGCATAATGGCTACATCACTGGACTCTCATGTAGTCGACTGTGCTTTAAGTCCTGGGAGTGGCTTAAACTCATGCCAGGCACGTGTGCATGCGTACCCAAGACCCCAAGATGAAAATGGAGGAGAAGGGATTGCGGCGTGGCCATCCTCCCTGGGGTGGGGGGTGATTTCTCACTTTCTGTTTCTCTGTCTCTCTCTATCTTTCTTGTGAGCACACATGCCCTATTGCAAAAACCTCTCCAAAAGAAAAACAAAAAAAACAAAAACTGAAGATTGCAGACTCAGCAGATCTGTAAACTCAAAAGTATTTTTTTGCATAGAATTAGAAAAACTTTAAAGACCCTTGCAAAGTGTTAAATGCTAAAGGATACTAAACTATGATTGAAATTAACTAGCTTGACCTTAGTTTGGGGTCTACTTTCTGTTTCTTCCAGTCAGCAGGATCTGGTTAAATTGCCTTATCCTTCTTTCACAAATATACCCGTTAATATCTTTTTTTTTCCCCTGGGGAGTGTGTACTTGCCAGAGAGAAAGATGGAAAGTGAGAAATTGCCCCCTGGAGGGGATAGTCACGCTGCAAAACCTTCCTCTCCATTCTCCTCTTGGGATTCTGGGAACGCACACACAAGCTTCCAGGATGTTTCTCAAGCCGCTGGGTTCTGGACTCAAACTGCGCATTAGGCTAGGTAGGACCCAGCTGCCTTAACCACCATGCCACCTGGCTGTTGTGTCTCCCTACCTCCCACTCCCCCGCCCTGGTTAATGTCTTACACTGCTCCAACCAGTGTGAAAACTCCCTCCCTCTTAAGCAGAACCGGGCTACAAACCTGTTATCATCTGCTGTGCGTCATAGGGCTCCATGTAGCCGTCGTTCTCGCCTACCCTCTCCGCGTCCCTTTGACCCTTTGTACGTTTGGCATCATAAGGGTCTGCATAGTCTTCTAAGATGATAACCTGTAAAAGAAGAGGACAGTTGCTAAAGCTTAGACCAAAATGGCCATGCTATCAAAATGGAGACTGAAATCTCCTGCAGATCCAGAGGGCAATGTCTCTAACTGGATTTGAACGGCTTCTGCACTTGACTGACTTTTGCAATGCATTCCCACAGGCCACAGTCCACCAGAGTTCTGACTGACATCTGAGTCAGGGCATTTACCATCCTCAACGTAAGGGGCCTGAAGAGTGCTGGGGTGCTACAGTCCTGCTCTGTGGCAGCTGGGTGACAAGGAGGAAGGTAGGGAACTCTTTTCAGAGGAAGCTCCAGGCTCTACTCCACAACCTCTAATCACAGTCTCCAGAGTGCACTTCCAGAGAAGTCCCACTGGAGCTGGAGGATAAACAACGGAGGACAGGAGAGGAGGGTCCTCGGCCAGGGAGGAGATGGCCTAGGAAACCGCAGCTATCCAGCAGTGGCAACCACGAAGACAGCCAGGAGACCACTGGGGGCTGTGATTAGCATTCACTCAGCCCATTCTTCCTGCCTCCCCACTGCACGTTCTGCAGCTGCAAGGCACAGGTGGAACTGAGGGCATACTCGGACCGTGGCTTCCAGGTCCCTATGAGCTAACCAGTCAGGCAGACCACTGAGAAGTCTGTGAGCTGGGTGCTTGCCCATCTTCCCAGTCTTCTGCTCAGTCCCTTGCACATGGGAGACACACTAACTATCTGTTGAAAGAACAAATGGAGGAATGAGCACAAGTGCCCCGTGCAGGCAAACACCTGTGCCTCGCAGGTTGCTGATTCCATCCGGGTAGGCTGCATGCTTGAAGTTCGCAAGAGAAAATAAAAGTTTAGGTCTTGGGGAGTGATTGCCTAGACTGGAGCCTGAAAGCTTGGATGGAGCTCTTCTTTCTCCCCCTTTCACGCAGGAAGAGAGGTTAAATGAAACCAAGCCAACTGGTCCCTGTAAGAATGCAATGAGCCCCTTCATGTGGTCACATGCCTTTTCTTGACTTTCCCACACTGGACAGCACCCAGAGAACCTCAAGTGTGCAAGCAGGAAACACCTTCTCTGCAGATCTGTTGTGTCCTAAGGGCATTTCCTTTTGTATTCTGTATCCCCCACAGCCCTCCAGGCCCTGTGTGTGCCCCTTATCCGGTAAGACTGATGCAGGACAAATGACCATGGAATGAATGAAAAGCCTGTGATCCCACCCCCACCCCCAGCCCAAGCTTGTTACTAGGTGGACCTGCAGGGAATGATGGGACTTCCAAACTGGCAGAGAAGGCCCACGGTCAAGACACCTCCTGAAGCTTTGAAATCCATAGTTAGAGGTTACCAATCCTTTCGCTCAAGAAGGATCAAAGTCGTACTTGTACAAGTTTAGCTTTCCAGTTCCCCTGGATGTCAAGATATTTAAAAAGCCACATCTGGGGCTGGCAGGTGGCAGGGTGGATAAGGGTGCTGGACCCCTACATGGCTGACCGAGGTTCAAGTCCCAGATCTGGCAGCTTGTTTTCTCACTTTCCCTCACTCTCTCACTCTGTCCCTCTCTGGTCAAATCAAAATAAATAAAGTTACTTAAATTAAAAGCCACATCTACAAGGGAGTTAAATTAAACAAAGGAGGGAATATTTCATTGGATTGCTCTCCTAAACTGCTAACAAAATTCAACGGATAGCACATTTCTATAAAGCTCCCTCCCCTAGAAAAAGGATCTTTCAAGGAAAACAAAATTCTAATACTTTTAGATGATCACTTAGGGGGTCACCGAATGCTATTTGGGACGGCCTCGTCACTGAGATATAAAGCAGCCTAGGGTATAGCGGGGTCATTAAGGCCCCCTCCCACTGAAAGGTGGTCCAAGGCTTACTCTTACCGCGTCTTGCTGCTTCATAACCTTGCCCTTGTCCAGCTCCGGGCCCAGGGAGGACGGAGACGAGGACGCGGACGAAGAGCTGCTGCTGCTGCCGGTACTGCTGGTGCTGCTGGTACTGCCGGGGTAGCTGCCCTTCCCGTTCTTCTCCTGCGTGTCCACCTTGATGAGCCTGTTGATGTAGGTGCTGCAGCCCGAGCTCTTGGCCGCGCCCCGGTGGGGCTCCTCCTCGGTGGTCCGGGAGTTCTTGCGGCCCTTGCCCGCGGCGGCCTGAAT